CTCGTAATAACCTTATTATTATACATCTTTTCCTTCCAAGGATACATCATAGAACTGTCGAAATCCAAAAGTTTTAGAACAGAATCGGGAAACTTCTTTGTGGGGAGTCCGGTCAAACCCTGGTGGCAGCCATGTTTGTTTTTATTATTGGAGGACGCTTACGCGCGTAATAATTCCATATTTAGAATTCGCATTTCCTTATATGGTAGGATGAAAATACCCCGTAAAATATCGCAAAATTACGGCACGCTGTAACTTATGGCGTTACGGTTACAGATTTATAAAAAAATTATAAATGCTAAATACTTAAAACAGAGTGTAAACTACATACAAGTGTACTAGTGTATTAAATCGATAGGATGACGCTTTTATATAATTTTATTAGTTTAATGTTTTCATTGAACTGAAACAAACAGTTTAAATTATAAGCAAAACACATCGAATCTCACTATTATAGTGAAGTAGACGTGAAATAATTTCCGGATATTATTTTTGGAAACATCACCTATATCAATATTTTGACAAACAAAAATTTAATATAATGTTTTCATGGAATTGAGGCAAAATATTTAAGTTATAAGCGCAACACACCGAATCCCACTCTTATAGTGCAGTTGAGAGTGAATTAATTAATCTTAATCAAACACACCGGATTGGGTGCAATGCAATGACTCATTATAAAGGATATGTCCTATATTGAAACACACTCACAATTTTGTTTAGAGAGAACGATTACTTGCATTGTAGGAATCATAAATTGTGTACACTCATTTTGAAACGTCACAGTCGCTCCGTTGCACGTCACTTTTCTGCAATTTCATGTAAGCAAAAGTGTATAGATCGCGTGGCACCCATCTTTGGCGCTCAGCATGTTAGGATGGCCGAGCGGGTATTGCGCGCCACCAGCTCTCCAGTGTAGCGCGTTTAATAGCGCGCTGCCCGATGTGCTCCGAGACCCTTCCAGACCAAGACGCTCCACCCCTTCAGCCAGAAAGTTTGCATTCGTCCGTGGAGACTTACGCTGTTCTTCATACTTTCGTATGGGGTCATATACAGCAGAACCACGTGAAGGTTAATAGTACCACCCCGCCAGCGCCGCAGCCTGCCGCGCCCGCGCCAATTCGCCGCCTGCCGCCGTCCACGGTGCATTTAGCGATATTGGACTTTTCTCTTATCACATGCACACTTTCACGACTAAAGTAAAATTGCTACAATTGTGCATCTGTTTGTCAGCTGCTTTGATAAAAACGTGGACGTTATCAATTACACAGTCTTATACGAAGCATGACGTAACTATACAACACATGTGTTCTGTTATTGCGTGCGAGTATGTCGCTAGGCACGTGTCACCAGGATTAGGTAAAATATTCGTGATCTCGGGATGGAATGGCGGTGGAATACTGTTTTGTTTATTCCACAAGCATGGGTGTTACTGCTATATCATATGTGTTAGTTGTATATTCCTTTCAGATTCATAAATACACAGACGCTCTCATTTGTGTGTGTCAATAACGTAAAAGGAGTGTATTTTAGAGGATATTTGAGTTCATTCACGCCGATAACGTCGTCCTACAATCCGCAACAAGTAATTTCGAAATGGGTACTAGAACGCGCCAGACAACTACATGCATTGATCGCGGATGGATCAAATTTACGCAATTTTCATTTTATGGTGTGTGATACATTTGCTTTAGGCAAAACCATTATTTTCAGTGGGGGCAGTTTCCAGTCAATTTCTACAGATTGACGAGTCAAACGTGCATATAGACGCCCGCTAACTGGACGCTATTTGTGTTTTCCCAAAGTTAAACTGATAAAAACCCGTGCATTGTAGTGTACACAACGCCGGTGTTGTGATGATGAATTTTATCAAATTTTATTTAATCACGGATAGCGGCAACACTGATTAAAAAGGAGTAAGTGATGCACAAATAAAACTAGCTATTTGAATAGAAATCCAGCAATCAAGCGACTACGGTTGTTGTTGTTGTCATCCACGCCTGCTGTTACTGACACCCAATACATAATACTTGGGATTAAAGTACACTTAGTGGCACTGACCGTGACAATGTCGGTATAATCGCCATAATAGTAGCACTGAATGATTGTTCTGCCTCGTACTTTCCATCAATGATCTGAGGAGCGTAACTTGTATTTGTTCACTGTGTAGGCGTGGGTATGTAACTTACCTCCATGGTTTGGGTTTTATACGTTTTTCTACAAATTTTACATCAATACGATAATTGCAGTATTTGGTATTTTCATATTGTGACCCCCACACACAAACACATACATTGTATAATACAATAGACTAGTATAGTATCTAGTATCATAATTGAATTCCCGATAGAAAATGACGTGTTACAAATCAGTTCGACCACGCCTGGTCGTTAGTATCAACAATAATCCAGACATACTTACTAACAAAATACAAGCCACACAACGGAATTATTGATCTATGGCACCATACGTTTAAATAGTATCTACTGTGATGTGGAATAAAAACAAATGTCAAGGCCACCGGGAATGCACGCGAGACATAATTTGTGTGGCATTCATTATCGGGGGAAATAGATCACATTTAAAAAAAAATACAAATCAAGACTCAAAACTTGAAGTGCGTCGTGAACAATTTTTTTTTTAAAAGGAATACTTTACCTAGCGCACCAATACACTTTGTAATTCTGGTGTGTAAAACTATTGTTTAACGATTACGTCATTTATTTCAGCCCCTTTTTCTATATCTGTCATTCCAAGCCGTCCATACACCGCTACAAGTGCCCTCCCGGTACGCCGAGCTGTACAACGATCTCATTCCAAATGACGAAGACAGGCGCATTTACGCTGGCATGGTTACGTGCATGGACGAAGCAGTCGGCTATGTTACCACTGTGTTAAAACAGAGTGCATTATGGGAGAACAGTGTGGTAATATTTTCCACAGGTAAGTAGGAATCTGTGTGACAGTTCGGCCATATAAATTACATTTTTAAAGCGCGGTGGTCGTCGCGCAGCGCGTGTTCGAATTTCATGTAAATA